CTCCATGACCGACATTTTTTTAATCAACAGCTTTGATAGCAATGTGCAGTTCTGGAGCACCCAGATTGTAGCACCACCATTTCTAGATACAATATTCTTGGAGAGTACTTTGAACTTAACCTGTAAAGAAAAGAGATAGCATCCCAGTTATTTGATAAAATAGAAAGAGGGGATATGGTAGTTCCCTGCTGATAGAGAAGAAATAATTGCAGAATTGTAGGAATAGTATTAGGAAACACACTACCAAATGATGTCATTGAAAGCAATAGTCCTGGGGCATTTTTAAATCTGAAAAATCAAGATAAAACATGCCACATTAATGTGGCCTTTTAAGTGCTAATGTGAGTGTATAATGCATTCATCTTTCAAAGAGGCATGAAATTCCGCTGCAAAATTTTAGCTATCCTGATATATTTTCAGAAAACAATTCTATTAGGCATGTTTTTTATACAAGATCCCAACTTGGCAATTTTCTTCAGAGCATAGAGGAAAGCACAAGAGAATGAGCTTAGTTGAGGAAGTGAAAGTAATGGGCATTTTGGAGGACAGTAATTCTGGAGGTCTTGATTTTGAGGGAATCTAAAATTGAGTATCATATGCTGTACTTTTTAAAAATGAAACTTAATTAAACTCAAGCAATAAGGCCAGAGATATGTACAGCTCAGTCAACAAAATCAAAATGGTGGTCTAAACTAGGTGATTAAAGCACCATCCTTTGTTATGTCCATGCTATGTTTGTGATTAACGTTAAATTGCCCAGTTGCGCTTGCCATTTTTTGACTTTGTTGACCATCTCTACAGAAATCCCTAAAAAAAACAAAAGTAGATCCCATGACATAGGAACATAATGGGAAAAAATAAATATAGATGAGATAAATGATAGTTCCTAACAAAGGAGGTTTAAAACTTCAATGAGATGAGAAAGGAACAACAGAAGACACCAATGTGACAATCCAAAACAGCTTAATGAAAATCTTGACATAAAAAGGACTCATACACAAAATAGAAATAATATCAGATTACAAGGGAAGAGAACAGAGAGGTTAAAAAAGGATGCTAAACCTAATCAAAATGGCTTCTTTGGATATTGTATGTTCAGAATAAAAGGAATATGTATACCAGCTACTCAGTGGAGACAATAAACTGCTAACATGTAATAAAATACAAGATTACTCAACTCCTGATTTTTTCAGTCTTCCCTCCTTCAAAATGTTTATGTTCCAACAGAAAATTATGAACAGGGTAGAATTGACATCCAAGACTGACAGAAGCAGGAAATATTACTTTACTGTTTTTTTCAGATTGAAATGAATTGCATTCCAGACTGTCTAAGATATGGCTCAGCCCCTAAATATTATCTTTGAGAAATTCTAAACAACTGAAATGCCAAACAACGGAGAACAAATTTTCCTTTCCAATTTCTATTGGGAGGCATGTCACCTGCAAGTGGGAAGTGATGCTGTTTTCAAAATTAGTTGTCCTTGCCATACCTATCATCCATGAGCTTATCTTTAAAGCCTAATACGTTAGTGGCTATTGTCATGTTTTGTGACAATTAAATACACATGCTAATTATACAGTTTTTTGGGGTTTCCTCCAATCAGCTTCACTGGATGACCCCTCTTCTTTCAATTTTCAGATAATAAAAACTTCTGCCCACTTTCCTCAAGCCATGCACAATTTTATACACTTTTATCTGTATAAAATACTGAAGGTTTTTAAGGAGGTTGGACAACCATTTGTCTGAAATGGTATAGGGCAGGGGTGTCAAACTGCTGGCCCACGGGCCGGATGTATCATAGCAAAACTGCGTCCACCCCATTGCTGGCAATAGCAAAAAAAGTCGTGATACGTCGTGACACGTGACGTTGCGAGTTTCCTGCTTGAGCAGGGGGTTGGACTAGAAGACTTCCAAGATCCCTTCCAACTGTTATTCTGTTGTTTTTATTTTTTTGAAGAAAGATGAGTTTTAGCATCTCATCACAGATACGCTACAGCAGGGCTTTTCAAACCATGGTACGCATACCACTAGTGGTACACTGGCACCTGGCAGGTGTACACTCAGGACGGGTTGAACAGCACTGTAAAACAAAATGTAAAAAAAAGTGTAAAAGTGGATGAGGTGAAGCGGCAGCAGCACCGCACAGGCTTGTGGCAAAGTCAGCTGGAACTGCACGTTGCTGGGTCCTACTCAGAGCTCAGGATCAAAGCGTGCAGCTCCAGCTGATTGGCGGCAGCCTTAGGGGTAGCAGGCAGCCTCATGCAGTCTTCAGGTTGAAATTCAGCTGGAGCTGCGCGACACATTGCCTGGGTCCGTGGTGGCGAACACCTGAAGCTGCGCAGGGTAAGGTTGCTGCCCCTGCCCAGATGTCCTCGCCTCCCCCAAGCGGTTTTTTACTAACCTGCTTTCAGCTGCACTCCATTTCTCCATTCGCTTCTCAACCTTCGACGCATGTTTGTGAGAGAGAAAAAAAAAGTTCCATGAGACTTTCTAACTTCTCGCTAGATCTCACGAGAAGTTAGAAAGTCTCATGGAACTTTTTTTCTTTTTTACCGATAGTCCCACAAACACGTGGCGAAGTCTGAGAAGCAAATGGAGAAACGGAATGCAGCTGAAAGCAGGTTAGTAAAAAATCACTTGGGGGAAGTGAGGGCATCTGGGCGGGGGGACGGCGGCAACCTTACCCTGCATGGTGGAGGGAGGGTTAACGGTGGGTGAGGGAGCCCAGGAGGAACTACGTAAAGCAGGCCGAGGGGAGGACTGGCAGATTGCGGGTGCCAGCAGCGCGGAGACCGATCGCATGTGCAAGTGGGAGAGCCGCGCAAGGCAGAGGTGCTGCCCGGGGCCAGAGGGGAGGCCTGGCAGATTGCAGGTGCTCGCCGATCATATGCGCACATGAGGCAGAGAAGTTGCCCGGGGCCAGAGGGGAGGCCGGGCAGATTGCGGGCACCGGCGCCCTGCCCCCTGGGAGAAGCGCGGCCAGGAAGTCCCTTTCCCGGGCTGGCCCCGTCCGAGGCGCACGTGGCCGGGGAGCTGCGAGGGGCAGCCTCGGGATCTCCCCTAGGAGCAGCCTGCTGGAGCCACCGCTGAGCGGACCAGCCCTCCCGCAAGCCAGGGCCCCGAGGGAGCACAGCCCCTGCAATCCCCAGCCAGCAATACTGTTGGCCCTGCTGGCCGGGAAGGCGCACCGGAGTCCTGGCTGCCAGAAGGCGATCAGCCCTCTCCTCTTCCATCGCCTGCTCTGTCTGGCTCGAGCCTGGCTGGGGCAGCATTGATACTTCCAAAGGTGGCCGTTTCAAGGTCACATGGGCAGCCCTCAGCCGCTCCCCTCCCCTCCGCGCCTCCAAATCGATCCCCAGACCGGCTGGCCAGGTGAGCAGAAGATCCGAGAGAGAGGGAGGGAGGGAGGGAGAGAGGGGGAGAGAAATAGAGGGAGGGAGAGGGAGAGAGGGAGGGAGAGGGAGAGAGAAAGGGAGAGAAAGGGAAAGAGAAAAGGAAAGGGAGACGAGAGAGGGAGGGAGGGAGAGAGAAAGAGGGAGGGAGCGAGAGAAAGAGGCAGCGAGAGAGGGAGAGGGAGAAAGAGAAAGAGAGGGAAAGATATTAAATTAGTAACATGGTTGTTAAGTGAATCTGGTTTCCCCACTAACTTTGCTTGTCAGAAGGTTGCAAAAAGCGATCACATAACCCTGGAACAATGTGAACATCATAAATATGAATCGATTGCCAAGCATCCGAATGTAAATCACATGACCCTGGGGATGCTGCAACGGTCATACGTGTGAAAAATGGTCATAAGTCACTTTTTTCAGTGCCGTTGTAACTTTGAACAGTCACTAAGCAAACTGTTGTAAGTCAAGGACTATCTGTGCTTTATCATTTTTTTCCCATTTTTGGGGGGTCATCAAGTTTTTGACACCTTGCTAGGTGACTGGTGGTACTCAGATATTGCCATATTCTAAAAGTGGTACAATCGGTGAAAAGGTTGAAAAGCCCTGTGCTACAGAACTTTAACATTCATTAAAAATGCCTTCTCTATTTTCAATCAGCTTTTTAAAAATCATTGAAATGTCCTCCATCCAACTAAAGAGTAACAAACATTTTAGCATGTTCTTATACAGATTTCTAACCCTCCCCCAATCATTTAGTTTATACTCCTCTGCATCTTTCTACCTTTATTATAACTTATTTTTCAAATCTGGACACTAGAACCGTACATAATATTCCATATTCAGAGACATCATACATTTGTACAAAGACATTAGAATTTTGGCAGTTTTATTTTCATTTCCTTTCTTAATGATTCCTAGCAGGACATTTGTCATTTTCACAATTGTGAAAATAACTTCAATACTTTCTTGGTACAGACCTCTTGGATCCCGTCAGTGCAAATATGGTATTTTTTGCCTCATACAACATCTTAAACTTAATTATTTAATATAATTATCAAAACTGCTGTAAGAAAAAATTGGATGGGATAACTAATACTAAGAATACTAAGATAAAATATAAAATGATCCTAATAGAATAAAAGTAACAGCATGAATGCAAAGTGCTTCGCTTATGAAATGCAAATCAACTATGTGGGTATAGTACACAAGGATATCTGGTTTGGTGATAGTACTTATGAAAAACAATATTAGAATAGCAGTTGATTGCCAGCTAATTATGAATCAGCAGCACATTCTGGCTACTGAAAAAGTAAATGCAATTTTTTTGGCTTCATCAATAGAACTATAATTATATTTTGTATCCGTTCAGAAATAAATCTGTAAGATTATAATATATGCAATATTTTAAAATGAAAATGTATTAGAAGTAAATTCACATTCTATTATTTTGAAAAAATCCATTATATAAGTTTCTACAGTTGGCATTTCTTCTGGCACCCAAAATTTCTCTAATACGTAGTGTGTTAATTTTGAATGTAAGATCACAGTACATTGCATCCAGAGTAACTTCAGAAGTTTGAGAATTGTTAAAAATACAACATAGTGTCTTGCATTGTTCAATATGAATTTATATCATCAGTGATTTAATACTGAACATTCAAGGTCAACCTGAGAAACAGTTTTTGTTATTCATGCTTTAAAACTTTTAAAAGATTATGCCATTTCTTCCATTAGTCATATGCTGGGATTTTGTTTTCATGAAATTTAGTTTTCTATCAGATAAAATGGAACTGCATCTAATTGTTGCTTACAATATCTCTTGCAATGAGCTCTTTCATTATTTCATTGGTACCACCATAAATTGGCTGAACACGAGAATCCACAAAAGATCTGGGGGGGGAAAGATAATAACGCATAAGAATTAAGCATACCAATAGTAATAAATAGAAATATCTATGTCACAGGATATATCTTTTCCTACCAAGATATACTCTTAATGATGACCTTGTTAATGGTGATTGGTAGCTTTTAAGATAATGTGAAATGCAAATTTTAAAGTTTCTGCAACCTTGTTTTCCAGAATATTTCTCTAAATCTATATGACCCACAACTTCTTGGGAATAAAGATGACAAGTATAATTATTAAAGCTCATGGAGAAAAAAGAAAGGAAGCAAGATTCACATTTGCTGCTTAGTAAAAAGGCAAAATGTAAAGGGAAGTTCATACTACCTGAAAACTTAACCGTAATAAAAACCTGAGCTTGCTGCTCACACTGTATGAGGTAAACTGACTGGAAAGGTAAAAGATTTATGCTCCGTTTGTTCAACTAAACTGCATGACTAACAAAATAAAAAAGAGTAACTTACTTTGCAATTGGGTATTCCCACATATATCCCCATCCTCCATGAAGCTGTAGACACTGAGTAGCCACATTGTTTTGGAGATCAGAAGCCCTTAAAGCATAGACAGATAAATCTATTTCAAAACTATTTGAATTGTTATACTCCAGAAACTAGTTGAAATTATCACTTCTATTTATCTAGCTGCCAAGTTTTAACAGCTAGTAAAAATATTTAAGCAATCATACAATAATTTATATAAGATTTAAAATCCCATTTTAGCAATAGCAATTGAACAAAAGGCTTTTAAATGTAGGTTTAAATTTAACAAGATGTTCATTATACATAAATGTTCAATACAAAAAATTGAACTGGTTTATCTTCTACTGAAAATGTTTTCTACATCAGTTTAAAGTATGGAAAAATTATCTATACCAAGAGAATTTTCTATTCAGTAATAAAATCTCCATAGCACTATATGAATACATAGCTAAAATCAAATTCAAAAGAGAAACAACTTTAAGAAATATTCTTTAAAGATTACATTGGAGAGAAAGATAAGCATGTCATGAATGGTAATATCCAATATATATATAGGTGCAACCATAAATAAGCATTCTGCATATTGCTGGAAGTACAATTAAATAGGTATGTACAACTGCAGCAAGATGAATGATTTCCTTTTAAACTAAATATAATTGCTTTTCTATCCGGTGCTTCAGTGCAATATTAATTTATATTACTGGATATTTCTCATCTGGACTTTAATCTTTGGGTTATTTTACTAATTTGTGTAAGAGACAAACATCTCAAGAAAAAGTGTTCTGCTCTTTCTCTTAATCTTACATCTCACTTCTTTTACCCATGTAGTTAATTTAATCTGGCATCAGTAACACAGTATTTCCTTGGATGTTTTCATTTTGATGAAACATATGTTAATATGTAACAGCAAAAAATTCCAATAGCTGTTTCTGGCTAATGAAAAACGGAACTGTAAGGAATCTAGGTAAATCTATCTTATGTAAAAATGGACTGCTTTTCCAGTCAGATTTAAGAAAAATTCTGTGTGTGTATGTGTGCAGTGTGTGTGTGTGTGTGTGTGATATAGATAGATAGATAGATAGATAGATAGATAGATAGATAGATAGATAGATAGATAGATAGATAGATAGATAGATAGATAGATAGATAGATAGATAGATAGATATAAAAGCTTTGGAGCTTCAGCTTGAACACAACAATACATAGAAACCACTGCCCCTACTCATATGGTTAGTAATTTTTTGTTAACATTCCATGGGAATATACAAACATGTAACTTAAATCCATTAATTCATGCTAAGCCATCTTAAACTATAAACAACAGGCTCTGGCCTTTCCTATATGATACCCTTTCAAGTATCCAAATTATGTTATCAGTTTCTTCTTCCTTAAGGCTAAGCATCCCCTACTCCTTCGACCTGTATTAACAGAACCAAGTTTCTAGGCCTCAAGTCATCATTGTTGCTTAGAATAAGTTTTTTGTGATAGCCATATTGCTTGTTTCTCTTTTCTTGAATTGTCTTCCCAGTTCTTCAAAGTTAACAGTTGGCTGGGCCTATTCTTGCCAGTATCATCTTATGAATTAGCAGAAAGGAATAATTGCCAGTGGATTTGATATATTATTCTGTCACATCCCTAATCTGTGCTCCTGGCAGACAGTAAATTTCAGAAGCCAGTGGATTGAATCAGCACATTCCCACAAGAAGCAGGTTAGGGAGCTATGTGAGTGCAAGGAAGCTATGCAGGTTAGGGAGGAAAAAATCACAGGTCAGGGAGGGTCTTCAAGGGAGTTGCCAAGAGGCATAGTGCAGGGAGGGTGAGCAAGGGTTGAATAAGTGCATGGGAGGTGCAGTGTGGGAAGTTACATGAGTGTGCAATTGAGTGTGGAAGAGTTTGCTGATCAAGTGTGAGGAAGTATGCAAGAGGCACTGTATGGATCAGAGAGGGGCTGTGCAGGGAAGACACCGAAGGGTATGTGGGAAGGTCCAGGCAGAAGAAGAACATTGTGGCTTCAAAATCTAAGAGACTGGTTTGCACAAAACTCAGCAGCACTTTTTTGTGCGGCTGCTGATAAAAACAGGATCGCCAACAGGATCGCCAACGTCCGATAACGGATATGGCACAAGAAGATGTGGGAAGTACGGCAAGAGTCAAGAAATGTGCACAGAGTTGTTGGATGAAAGTGCACAGGTGGATGAGTTATTTACTCCAGCAACTTGCAACCTTCCCTGCCAGCTCCCCCATTGATTTTTCTGGGGAAGCCAGCAGAAAAGATTGTAATCATGTTATCATGGGGCACTTGGCAACCAGTTGTCAGAACAAATGGATTGCCAAGCGCCCAGATTACAATCACAAGACTGTGGGGTGCTGGAACAACCAGAATTCCAGGGACAACTGTAACTACCATTCACTTAGCACCATTGTAACTTTGAACTGTCACTGAATGGTCATATGTCAAGGACTACCTGTATTCCAAAGAACTTGATGCACTTCAGTGTTCAGTTGAAAGTGATTTGTGTGTGTTTCTAATTATTTCCCACCTGTTGACCAACGCTGGGTGTCTTCTTTAGCCATACCTATCTGGAAAGCAAGGAGGGCTTACTAAATTCATGAGCCTCAACAGTATGTGAGAGACCATTGGCCAAACCTGCATGTTAATAAACTCCACTTAGAATGTCATGTGTGTACATGTCAGCAAATCTATGTTTTTATGTTCTGTTTCCTTATTAATGGGAGAAATCTATTTCAACTTTTACAAAGGTATCAAATAAAACATGGGTTAGGACTGAGATACAGCTGCTAAAAAAGATGCTATGCTGGGATGCATAAACAGGTCACCAAGTTTGATCAACTGCCCTGATCAGACCCATTTGGAGTACTGAGTGCAGTTCTGGATACCATAATTTTAAAAGGATAATGACAAATTGGAACAGGTTCAGAGGAGGACTACAAAAAAAGTGAAAAGTCTGGAAACCAAACCCAGTCCAAACGTCTGGAAAACAAACTGAGATCAGTTCAATAATCTGGATATATTTCACCTATAGAATAGACAGCCAAGGGAGATATGAAAGCAATCTTCAAATGGCTGAAGTGTCAACTTACAGAAAAGGGAGTGGATTTATTTTCCATTGCCCCAGTGGGCCAGACCAGAACCAATAGCTAAAACAAAGAAGGAATTTCATACTAGACATCGGAAAGAAATTCTTCAGTGAATAAGCTGTCAGCCAGTGAAAGAAGCTGTCATACAATATAGTGATTTCTCATTCACTAGAGTTCTTCTACAGAGGCTAAGTGGTCATCTATTGGAGATGCTCTGATGGATTTTGTATTGAGCAGGAAATTGACTGGATTATTTCTATAGTTCCTTCCAGCTATGATTCTAATGAAATCCTGTTTAAAGCAAAACTAAGAGTGCTCAGTTAAAACCCCTTATACATACTGTTCAGAGTGAAAGCAACAAAGTAGAACTGAAAATAGGGTAAACCATTTGAATTTTCTGAAGAAAGTATTTGTCCCTACAATTCTTGAGTACAATATGAGATTATATTTATTGTCACTATTCAGATTTAGAGCACATATATATGACAATAGACATACCAGTATTTGGCCATTGAAGCAGTAGCAGAATCCAGGCATTTCCGTGAATGAAGATCAATACAATTATCCAAAAATGTCCGACCAACACAAATCTGTGTTTTCAATTCTGCTAACTTGTGTTGCACAGTCTTTCAATTGAAAAGGAAAAGATACAATGTATTATCTTCTGATACTTGCAACACATTATGAACATTCCAATTATATCTCCATAATAGTTGGCAATATTTTGCAAAAAATATTCTTTTATGTTCAAAGATAGTGTCCATAACAATTTTTCAAAATTTAAAGTATATTAACTGTCTCAAAGCAAACTAACACTTTAATCATATTGAAACTATTGTATGTAAAAAACATTTAAGCCTTATTATTTAGAGGTAGTCCTCGACAATTGTGCCCAAAATTTTCATTGCTAAGCAAGACAGTTAAGTGAGTTTGGCCTATTTTACCACCTGTTAAGTGAATCACTGAAGTTGTTAAATTAGTAACACAATGTTAAGTGAATCTGGCTTCCCCATTGACTTTGCTTGTCATAGAAGTTGATCACATGACCCTGGGACACTGCAACTGCCATAAATTGCCAAGCATCTGAATTTTGATTACACGACCATGGAGATACTGCCAAGGTTGTAAGTGTGAAAAACAGTCATAAATCATTTTTTCAGTGCTGCTGTAACTTCTATCAGTCACTAAATGAATGGTTGTAAGTCAAGGACTACCTGTATTTGGTGGGAAATGGAACCCCACCACAATTCTTTCTGAATTTAGTAGACACAGTATTAGTTATATATTAGATTGTGGAAGGATGTTATCTCTATGAAGATGTTGTATTGTTCACTATCACCAATGGTAATAATAAATAATGCGCCTTTTTCAAAATCCTAGCTTAACTTTAGTTTAAAAACACAAAACTTTTACAAGTGTAAATTTTAGCCAGGTCAGTAAAACTGATCACAAACAGAGGCATTTTATATCTAATTAATCTTGATAGTACAGCGGCTTTGTACCTAAAAAGAACATCAATGGTTTTTTTTTCCTATTATACTCAGAAAATTGAATTAATTTCATATGAAGGGCAATTTCAGTTAATTCCCCCCCCCCATCTCTGCTTTTGTCTGCCATCCAACTCCCCTCTAGCACTGTTTTCTCATGCTACTCTCTGCTCAGTCCCATCTCCTCTCCCAAGTTGTCCTGACCAGCAATTCTCCTTGTCTCTCAATCTATTTCCTATTTAATATGCATTCTTCCCTCCAGCAAGTTCACCCAAAAGTAGTAATCCATTTTTCTTCTGAAAAATATTTTTACTGAGCATGTTTCAAAAGGAAGTGCAGCTGCCTCCCATATTCATTTCCCCAAAGAACACTCAGGAGTGTCTGAAAACTACTAATTATTTCTGAAATTGGATTTTTTTCTGCTTTTCCAAGCCAGGAATTTGTAAAAGAAAGCAAGTCCATTGCTTGATATTATAACTGATATTATATGTTGATGTTATAAACTGGATTAAAGTTTTTTCCCCATCCTTAAGAAATCTAGAAATGCACATTTTATTATACAGAATTATAAATACTGAATTCTACCCTCAGCAATTACAAAAACTTGCACCAGGATGTATTTAAGACATGCTTGCAAAGAAAGGATATAATTCTGGCTTTCAACCTCCTTTAAAAATATCAGCAATCAATCTATTCATTTTTTTAACTGTTAGCCTAAAGCTTAAGGATCAGATACAACAATGCACTTCATAGGAACATTTCTGTTTTTAAGGGATAAACTGAGAAAGTCTCCAAGTCACTTTCTAAAAGAACAAAAAGCTAGATATAATCTGCATACCTGGGACAAAAAAAAGTCCCAGGAGTCCTAGAAACCATAAGGCCAAATAGCAGCCCTCTGCTAGAAATCAAAAGAAAGATTTACAGCCACACAATCCTTCTAGGCAAATGTTTCAGAAATATACAAGTTTGGGATATAGATTGTTCATCAGATGATCAGGCAACCAGGTCTGCATCCCAAATGGGAAAAAAACAAAAGGATTTTAAATTAAAAAATATTACTGAGGAAACAAATATTTTCAAGTTCTCACCTGTAAATGTGAAATTGTTTTCCCAAAAGCTTTTCGTTGTTTAACATAGTTTCTTGTTTCTTCAAACATGAATTCACAGCTAGAAATTGCTATATCACCGATCACGAGCCTTTCCTTGAGAGTTATGGGGGGAAAAGACATTCTCAGACGTATTCATTATTAAATGGAAAAAATATCATTATTTCTCTATACATTTTTCTGTTAGATACCTCCTCTCTGTTCTTGCATTTCTGGCTTTAAAAACCTTTATAGTTTATAAAGATGTAAATAGGTCTAAATCAGCCTTGTACTTACATCAACTGTAGATCTTAATTTCTGCTTTGAGTACACTTTTGTGTCTGGTATATTAAATGTAAGACTGTGGAAAGAAAAGCTCTCAAATAATTTGACTTACCCCAGATGCAATTGTAATATTTAATATTCTGGCCTGTAATATCAACATACATTTTATGCAGGGTCAAAATAGGTGATGTCAAGGCTGCTAACATCGGATGTTCTTGCTTGACAATATATGAAGAAGCAGACATTCTCTATTTAACCTGTATATTACTTCTAGAGTTAAAGTTAGTGTGGGAAGGGAGGAGGAAAGAATGTACTTGGGGAATAGTTAGCCATAACAATATTTCAGTACAGCATTATTCAAGGTTAGTTGTAACCAGAGGAGATACGGGAGGGAAAGTTCACACTTCAAACTAATTGGAGAACGTGATTGATGACTGTTAAATGAAGGAGTGAGTTATGCTTTGTTACGGGTGATTGGGGGGAAGGAGAGTTCAGATTTTGGCTTCATTATGTACGTGCCGAAGCTATGTAGCAATAAAAGGATTCTTTAAGGTAAACAATGCCTCAAAGTTCTTTGAAAAGCTTCTTCTTTCGAAACCATGACAGGTAGTCTTTATGCATGGTGGAAAAATTCAAAATTGCTCTTAATTGGTACTACTCTTTTAAGATACCAGTCTGGTATTCTGTCTGTTTGTACATTAATGACCATACAGCCCGACATGGACATATTTTGAATAGGTCCTAAAATAATTGAGAGATGAATCTGTGATTATGATATGTAGAAGTTTTGATCAGCATATGGAAGTCAGTGGTGAGGCGCCAACAGACTTGAGGGATACATAATATGTTTCAGCTTTGTGCTTTGACTCTCTACCAAGTGCTACTGTGTAAAGGTATATGAACTGCTTGAACTGTTGAATATGCTTAATATTCTACATAAAAACATAAATCATATTCAGAAAATAATACTCCCAAAGGAAAGACTCATATAGAAATATTCCAGTATTATTCTCCTCCCCTGCAAAAAATTTTGAGAGAGGAAAACAAAAACAGAATGTAGACAAATGCCTACCTAAATAGAACTAAGTGAAATCTTTTGAAGAATTAATTCTATTTTTGTGGATGGTGAGCGGAAAAAGGCCCTTCTTAACTGTTTTCAATAACTTGGTATTTTAAACTGGTGTCAGAAATTGTGACCTGGGGCAGAGGGGCGGGGAAACATTCTACAGGAGAAAAAAATGCTAAAACAAATCAGCATCTCCTTTGGAGCTTTAAAAGAATGCTTTACTAGGAGCAAAATATGCCTTGCTTTGGACTCAAGAAAGGCTCAGCTGCAGTCTCCTAAACCTTCAATTTCCTCCTCCCTGAAAGCTAATGACAGGGAAATAGCTTTTCCTGACATTACGCAGACTTCATGTTTCCATTACGAAAGTCCACAAAGAGAGCACTAAGGCAGTGATTCACATAGAAGGCCCTAGTAAAAATGATTTTGCTTCTAAAGGTATCTGTACAATAGTTATAGAACAGGAGTGAGATCTAATACTACATATAGTAGTATTACAATATTAACATTTCTAAGTATATTCTCCAAATCTTTCCCTCACATATTACAATGTGTTATATAAAAACTCAAGCCTTAAAAGCTCAAGAGAAAATAACAGTGCAATTCTGGGTGCAAGATTTCTACCCTGAAATCAATAGGTGATAGCTGTTAACATCTTGCATAGAAGATCAAATGTCATCCAGCATAATCTGTTGCTGGCAGATAGCTGCAACGACAAATAATGCCTTTGTGCTATTCTTCAGTGTGATTTTATATCTCAGTATAGTTTCATGTCTGTCTTACCTGAGGAAGCTCTGACATTAGATAATAGAAGCCTTTGTTCTCCTGGCCAAGTAGCGCACTGGCAGGCAAGCGGACATCTTCAAAAAATAGCTCAGCCGTGTCCTAATTTTAAATAACAAAGTCACATATTTGTCAGTGTTCCTTAAACCCTGTATTACAATGCTTCTCTCTTAAAGAACTGTGGGCCCACAGATAAGTTAAAATGAATGGAGGATACTATTTATCAAAGTGACTACTTACCATAATCAAATTCCAAGGCCTAAGTAACACATAATAATGGAAATAAATGTTTGTTCCACCTTATATTTATTTTGACTTGTAATGAAGGGTGGAAAAAAAGTCTCATTTTATCATAGATAGGACATGGAAGATGTGAGGCAATTATTTCTGCAGCTCTACTTTATTTTCCCAGAAGCCCTTGCCCTCCACCTTTGAGTGATATAATATTCTGCACTTCTTTTTGAGTGCACTCACTCTCTACTCTCTTTTCTGTATTTGAATGTGGCAAAGCCAACACTTCCTGCCACTGGATCCAGCTGAAAAGTCCTGTTGGGTTTCATAGCTTATCAAGAGAAAGTTCACAGGCATTCAGTAGGTGAAAAACACTGTTATGGGAACTGTAAGATTAGGTTACAGATTTCTGCAGCCAACTGTCAAATATATCTAGCTTGCTATCTAATGCAATGATAACTGAAATATATTTCCATTGAGTTTACTACACATACTTATTAGAGCAATTACCTAGGACTCACCTGTGCTTTAAGTCCTATTTTTTCAAGCTTACGTCCTTTGACAAAGCCTTTCATACCGTTTTCTACTAGGAAGAGGCTAATTCCATGAGCAGGGGAACGGGACTCACGGTTTGTAACAGCCACAACAATAACCAAATCAGACATCCAGCCATTCGTAATAAATACCTGCATTAAACCAGAGAGATATACTAGAATTGTTTTATTGTAATTTGCTTTTTTGCCTTAGTCCCTTAAAGCCAACCATTCCTTATTAGTTCTTGCATTCATTTCTTATCTTGAGGGATGTTTTCCAGTTTAAATAATCACCCTCTGAAGTCATGGAAAGATAGAATCTCAAAGACACTCAAAGATAACTTAAAAGATACTCTCCATCTACTTTTAGGCAGAACTCTTACAAGATTATCTGGTTGCCACAGATAACTATGCTGTAGAAGCCAAAGTAATTGTATATAAAAAAGTGTGTGGTGTTTTGAATGCTCTTTAGTAAAAACATACAAGAAAAAAGTGTGGCAAATTGAGTACAATTGAAGTAAACTAGTATCACAGTCAACAAGATTGCTTCTCAGAATACTTACAAATTAGCTGGCAATGCAAAACAGCCACACTACATCAGTCAAAAGTATGGATTACCACAATAGATTTCAGTCAACCAATTAATAAATAACAATATAAAACTATAATTAAGCAAACAAAAAAAACCTTTTCATATCAAGCATCCACTCTAGTTTTTCCGGATGAAATTTAACTTATATTCAAAAATCTCATAATGTGATTCTGCTTTAGTTATGCAATTAACTACAACAATTAATAGCAACCAGACACATTTAGATTATTTAAACTCCATTGTCAAAATGCATTGGGGCATACATCCTTCTGAGATTTTAGCAACACCAAATTTTTCTTTAAATAATTGTCTGAATGTCTTTCTACTGAATGTTTTGTTTTGTTGGAACATGTAATAAGATTGATACACAATCTTATTACATGTTCCAACAAAACAAAGCATTCATTTATTTACAGTATATCGCACATTTCTATTCTCAAGGCAGCATATGTGGTACTCCTCCTCCCATTCCCCCCCCCCAACACTGCTGCTTTGAGGAAGACTGTGCCTAAAAGAGCAAAGGGCTCAAAGTCATCCAGGGAGTTTCTGGGCCGAGGGTAGACAAGAACCAGGTTCTCTGCACTCATAGTCCAACACCTTAACCACTACAGGTTACAAACTTAGATATATTCATTTATTTATTTTGATGCCTTCGAGTCAGTCTTGATTTCTGGTGCCTGCCTGGACTAGTCCCTGCAGTTTTCTTGGCAAATTTTCTGAAGTGATTTGCCCTTACCTGCTTCCTAACACTGAGAAAGAGTGACCCACACAAGGTCACCCAGTGGCTTTGTGCCGAGGGTAGGACTAGAATTCATGGCCTCCTGATTTGTATCATGGTGCCTTATCCATTCCACCAAACTGGCTCAAAAATCTTAGCACATATTCATCCAATCAAATCATTAACTTTTCTGTATCACAGATTAAGTGTTTTCCAGGGCATTCCAAATGACACAGAAATCAAAGGCAACTGATTTTGGATGGGTGAGGTGCGCTTCAATTCCTGTGTCAGTATTTCACACATATTTATCAACAGATAACACCAACTTCTCTTCTAAACTTGAGCACATCAACATTGTCTCTAGATTGGTAGTAGTTTCAAGGATGTTGCTCCTGGGGGATTTCAACCTCCATACTCAGGGGAGGGTTGCAGCATAAGTTTGTGACCTCCATGCTTATCATAGGTAATTGTGGCCTTGATGCTTATGGCTGGGCACACACCAGACCTGGTCTTTAGTTTAGTGCAGATGAGACATGACCTGAATATGTTTGGATGGCTAGTTGCTCTTTACCATGGTCAGACAACTTCCTTGTCAAAGTACAAATCGCAGCTGCCTTGAATCTCAGAAAGAGTGGCAGACCCATTACTTTGGATCGCCAAGGCATTTAATGGATTCAGATGGTTTCCAGAGAGCTCTGAGGGGGGATTCCCAACAATTTGGTGGGCAGTTTTGTCTCATGCCTGGTCAACCTGTGAAATCTGGAGATGTCTGGAGCACTTAGTACAATCGCCCAGTATCGCACCTCTCCAGTTACCAATCCCAGTGAGTGTCAGCCCCACCATACAGAGCAAACCAGGAAATTGACTCTGGAGGAAGGCTAAAAGAATGTTTATTGAGATTTGGTATTCTATAGAGTCTTGAAAGTCTGGTTGAGCTGCACTTCTTCCCCTTTCTTATATCCCAGTGAATTAGGCAGGCATTAACCTGGGTCGCTTCCAAAAACTATCTCTTTGCTCTGGGCTTATAAAATGTTTCAGCCTTTTGCCTAGGTAACAGTTTATGCATATTTCCAGCAAGGTCATCATCCTTATTCGCTACAGTGAATAGTTTAATGATGAGCTAAGGGAAATGAAGAGATTCCTGGAATGATGCTGGCATAAAACCAGAAATGGACACAAATGAGAACTGATAAAAGCTCATGTTTAAGCTTACACAGTGGTAATAAGAATGCAAAACATTAATTCTTCCCAAAGCTTATTGGGTTCACAGATTTCCAACAAGCAGAAAAAGAAAAATGGAAAAAGAATCCCCCTTCATTCCTACCAAACACAATCAACATTAACAACTTATCATTATTTCTTAAAATGCAACCAAACATCTCTTCATTCCATACCTTACTCCAATTTCTATATACCCATCTCTAGGACCCCATCTCTCTCTATTAAGCAGTAAAAGTCCAGTAAGGGTTATTAGAAATAATATAAATATTAAAAAGTAATATAAATATTACAAATTATATCTATTACACCCAATCTGAATCCTTCCTTTCCGTTTAAAAAAAAACCCTTTTCCTCTCTTCAAGTAATGAAAGACTTAGTCCCACTCAAAAAACAATTAAGCGTTACCAGCATTAACCATTATCACCCACTCCTAATGAAGAAGCCGTTAAATATCCTCCCAAATAGCAACCCATTATCTTAACCCTGATCAAATAAATGAGGATCTTTCCTCAATTTTGGCTACTATGATAGTTATGCACCTGTCTAGAAATAGTGTCTCATGCCACGTTCGTTATATATGTACACTACTTTGGGAATCACTCAGAAGCTACAACTAATTCAACATGTACTGGCAAGGCTCCTGACAAGACAATCTCATTACAGAAGAATTGCATCTACCCTGGAATTGTTTTCCTGGCTGCTTATTAACTTTTGAGTCCAACTGAAGTGCTGGTGACCACTTTAAATTAAAGCCCCTAACAGTACCAGATTATGTTGTACCAGATTATGTTGTACAAACCATGCCAGAATAGAACCTGCTCAGAGGGGGGCAATTGGGGGTCCCCCATACTCTGCAAGGTCTATGGTGAGTGGATCAGACAACAGGCCTTCTCAATGTTGTCCCCTAGTCTTCGGAACATCCTTCCCCAGAAAAAGGAAGATATCTCCCTCCCTCTTTGTATTTAAGAGGCAAATTAAAACTAGGTTATCCCAGTGGGTATGTAGCCTTTAGTCCAGTGGTTCTCAACCTTTTTAATGCCGTGACCCCAACCGGCCGTAAGTCGAGGACTAAACCGGTCATAAGCCGAGGACTAAACTGATCGTAAGTCGAGGACTAAACCGGTCGTAAGTCGAGGACTACCCAACCGGTCGTAAGTCGAGGACTTTCCCTGCCCGGGAGTGCCGCGCATGCGTGGTTCCGCCCCCTGCGCCAGCCGAGGCGTAGCTGGCAAGCGGCAGAGGCGGAGCAGGCCGACCACCAGCTGGCCCAGCCCAAGGGAGGTAAGGCACCCGCCGGAAAAGGGGAAAAAAATGGCGGGCAAAAAAAATGGCGGACAAAAAAAATGGCGGACAGCCTTGCTTGGCGACCCCCGTGAAATGGTTGATCGACCCCAAATGGGGTCCCGACCCACAGGTTGAGAACCACTGCTTTAGTCTATCCCAGTGCTTCTTGAATATTTAATTTTAATTTGTTTGGACATTATATTATGTCTTTAACTGTATATACTAGTTGTGTGGTTCACTGCTCAGAATTGATTTGGGTAGAATATAAATACAGTAAATAAATAAATAAATCATACAATATTTATGTCAAACATTTTTCTCAAGGTATAAAAAATTAAGGTGGATTTATTTAGTAAAAATCACATTTCCTTATTTTGGGAATATTTGCAGTGCCTTCTTTATCACTCTGTTCTCACTTGCCAGAGGTCTGCTTAGCTAAAAAGCAGATAGGAATGTGTATTGAAATGTAATGTTTTCAATGTTCCTTCCTTATACTGAATCTACTAAAACCTTCTCTGCCCCTTTCTCCACCTGCAGTTCTGCATTATGTAGCTCATACTTTTACTTTGAATTGATGGAAGAAATCATTATGAAAAAAAATGAGTGAAACAATTACAGAATTTATTAAATTTTAAAATTGGATATGATAGGAAACTGAGATTGGAGATGAGTCCTTGTTTCATTATTTTTTTACTTGTGTTAAATGACTCATGAAAAGTCAGCCTGCTTTCATTCCTCTTTCTAGCCGTTCTAAATTAATGTAGGTGGAAGGATGACATGAAATACGATCCAAATTAAATATTTTTATCCCATTTTGTGTGACTTGAATGGAAATTTGTAAACTTTTGCAAAAATATTTCTGTTGCAAAAAAGTAAACATTTTACAAAAGGCAGAGACAGCCGTAGACTACAAACTGCTACAAGTTATCATATGAAAATATACATATATGATTGTGTCCTATCAGCTTTCAGTCTGAATCTCAAATACATAAGGCAATCTATTTTATTTTCACAACACTCTTGTAAAATTGGTAATTTTCAATTGTACTACCAATTGGTAGTAACATTTTTACCATCAATTGGTAGACAATTTTCCTTCTTGGTCTCCTGAACAATCTTATCAAAGAAAAATAAAAGCAATTTTAACAAAACTATCCAGTAATTGTAAGCAACAACAACCAGATTGCATTTGGCAGTATCCATTTTGACATTTTCTCTGAATCCTAAACAATACACTCACCAGGAGGAGAAGTCATTTTTTTCTCTTTTATATATGCCACTACAATCGAGTTTTTATTTGCCTCTTTGGTCTCTCCAGGCAATTTCATACCAGGGAGGCCGTTCTCCTGCCAACTCTTTTAAGCTGTGAAATATCTGAACATTGGTTACCCTTTGCAGACCAGCCATGTTATAGCATTAAAAGGCCAAATTCTTCAGATGTTTTTTATAACGTTCCCCAACAAAAGGACAAAAAAGCACCTGCTAAGTTGATTGAGTTTTCGAGTCGTCAGCTGCAGTCACCATGTTACTCTGGCAGCAGGAGTTCTCGTCCAAAATAGAAAAGGTGATGACCTGGCATTGCTTGACTGAGAAATTGTAGAAAGCCAACCCCATAATTCTCAGCACTAATCTCAAATGGCTGCACAATACATTTACCAAAATTAAAAGAATGTTATCACATACCTTGCTGCCATTTAGAATCCAATCACTGCCATCCTTTTTTGCAAATGTTTTCACACCCTGCAAATCACTAAGAAGAAAATAGTTCTTACTAATGCAACGTAGCAAATGCATAATGATTAAAGTCTCCCAGCCTAGAGGAACAGCAAATGATCTCCCACAGTGATTCTAAACTTCTTTTATGCAAGCCTTTACACATTGTTATTGAAAAATTCTGAAGACAATCACATAACTCAGGGACTGACCACACAGTGCCTGTGGGCGCCATGTGGCACCTGCAAGTCTCCAGAAATAAACAAAAAATCATATATATTTGATAAATTGTAATTTGAGCTCATCAAATCTTTTAAAATGTTGGCATCCTCAATTGAAATGTTGCAAAATTTTCAAGAACACCAACAAACACACCCCAAGAAATTATTTTTGGGTGATTGTGGATAGAATGCATACATAAGAACAAGAAACTACCAAGCTTGGGATTGAATTTAACATATAAAGGTGTCCATTTGATTCCATGTGGCTACATTTACCAGGAACAAATTTGGGCTACGTCCAACGTTTCTACTGTGAAAATAAGAAATACGAAAAATGCTATCTTCCTGGTTCATAGATCCATCCAGACCTTTGTTCTGACCAAAATGTCCACGAATTTTAAATTCTATGTAGGAAGGGAAGGCAGTATTTTTCAGTTCCTCATCTTCCAGTGTCACTATAACATAGTAGGAAGCCTGCTGCTAACATCTCTAGAGAGGGTGGAACCCAAGAAAGTTGGTCCAATTGTTTTAAACTGTTGACAGTTCAGAGGGTTTTAGGGCTGGAAATGACATACATTTGGACTTGTATTGGCTTAATACACCCATCTCCAGCATAATTTTGCATTTTTGTGCCAGGAATTATACCCCTGAAAGCAGCCAGTTTGTTGCAAAATTTGGGAGTCTATTCTTGGCTCATTCAAGGCTATGGAGGGTTAAAGGAGATAAATGGAAGTATAGTTCCATACATTTTTGGTATTTTGCATTTATAATCCATCACTTTATAATCTTGAGTTGCTCTGGGGATTGCTATGTGGCGGTGGGGAGGGGCACAAGCGACACATCACATGTGCACTCTGCTAGGCAAATATATTAGGGATGTTATTAATGCCCACAGGTCTGCCCTAGTGAGAATAACTAAAAATGTATGCAAAAGACTGCATTCTTAAAGAGCGTGCTTACCTTCCAGCCCCAGGTTCTGTCATAGCTATTGCACCAATACATCTGCCTGCTGCCATTTCTGGAATGAACCTTTCAATCTGCTCTTTTGAGCCATAGTTTGCTATATAAGGCATGACAATATCAGAATGAAGACTAAATCCTGGGCCTGTACAATTAGCATACATCCTGGAAAGGGAAGAAATTAAAAAAACCAAAGATTTGTACCCGAGTTCTTCAACTACAAAGAAGAAAATTATTATCGTATTACTCTTACAATGTCATATTTTAGATCAGCTTTTTTCAACCTTTTATTCGGGAGGAACCCTTGAAATAATGTTTAGATTTTAGGAAACTTTCACATAAAATTTTCAAGAAGTACAAAAACTTCACAATACAATTCACTTCTAATCTATACAATGCATGTCTTATATTGTCTAAAACAGCAAACCATCAGGCTAGCATGGCAGCTGAATCATAGTGTATATAAATTCCCACCACTGTAAGTTCTAGCATTGCATACAGTGCAAAGTTCAGAAAATTGGTTTCTTTTTCAATGACAAATCTTACTCAGAAGCTCATGTAGCCTCTCATAGAACCCCGAGAAAGGCTGTTTTTGTTAGGTACATATTGGGGGGAATTAATAAAAAAAGAGATTTATGTTGCTCATTCAGAAATATTCTTATTAAATATTCTTATTAAACTTCTTATTAAGAAGTTTTAATTCAAAATAGATCCTCCCACTGGCTAATAAGAAAAATATATTATTTTGCTCTTCTCAGCATATTGAAGGCAGGATATTCTGCTTCAGTTATTATAGATCAGAAGCAGTACGTATGCACAGGGGGTTCCAAGCCCTATTATTACTAAACAGGAAACATGAGACCACAGATGGCAGAAACAATCAAAGGCTCATTTCTACATACAGTAAACTAAGACATAAGAGAAAATAATGATCCTAGCTTTCTCCCCCCTCTCCCAAACCCAAGTCCTGGTATCTACTTCACCGTGGTGGTGTATAGGGGAGTAAGTTCCTGGTAGGGATGAATAAAGAATGCTAGGAGTATATGCCAAGAGTATATAATTAAAGGATGAAAGTTAAAGGTATTATAAATATATATATTTTAAAAAAGAAAGGAAAATAAAACAGAATAATTAAAAAAATAGAAAAAAAACATTCCAGTAACCTCCCCCTTCCTCTTGTTTTCCCAGACACTAGCTTTCCCAAACATTTAAACACTATTTAGAGTTTAAATATTTTTATATTACATTTTGGACATCTGTGATTATTGCCCATTTTTATTTGGATCTTTTCGCTTATTCTTGAAACAGTTCTTTTTTCTTCAGAAATCATATTCTAAGTAACTCAGCTTGCAATAATAATAATAATAGTAATAATAGTAATAATAGTAGTAGTAGTAGTAGTAGTAGTAGTAGTAGTAATAATAATAATAATAATAATAATAATAATAATAATAATAATAATAAAGTTGGAAGGGACCTTGGAGGTCATCGAGTCCAACCCCCTGCTCAGGCAGGAAACCCTACACCATTTCGGACAGATGGCTGTCCAGTCTCTTCTTAAAAACTTCCAGTGTTGGAGCATTCACGAGATATGTTGTATATAATGGAAGCATTCCTGCTTTGATTTGCTTAGATTACTGCAGTGAATATACAGTCCATTTTTCCATTGCCGCATATTCTTCAATTTTAATCTCCCAATCACTGATCTCAGTGGTTTCATAATTGCACTGTATCCCCAACATAACATTTCATCGTGGGTTCCTCTCCATGAATTTTGATCCTGCTTGTCTGCTTACCCTTTTGGATCTTGTTGGATAAGACTTTCAGAGCAATTACAAATAGTAAAGGGAGAATGAACATTCTTGTCTTGAGCCTTTGCAAGTGTTGAAGTGTTCCATTCACTGTGATCTTTGTTGTTTGCTGTTTGCTGTGATGTTTGTTGTTTGCTCTGCTCAGGTTTTGCATTCTATTCCAAGGGTTCTTTTTGTTTAAGGCCTCTAGAAAAATAGTCTGTTCCATGACATGCAAGCCACCATGGTTTGATTCACACTAACTTAAAACCAAACCAAATGTGTTATGCACAAACATTCTTCAGCTTAAGAACAAGTGTCTGGATGGATTTAGTGAGAAAAATATCTTCAGCTAAGTTTATTCTTTTAAGGATTTAAGATTGCAAGGAAAAGAATAAAAAATCTAGCTATTGCTTGGGCTTGGAAAAGAAAGGGAGACAAACACCCAATGTCTATTATGACCATCCAGTCTTTCTTATCCAATAACACTTGCTTTTGTTTATTAAACCAATCTTATCTTACTTTGAAACTCATACTTCGTGCCTATAATGTCTCTATAATGTCTCTATAATGCAAGATGATCTCCTCTTCTAGTTTTTGTTGCCAGCAGACCAATATGGATTGCAAAAGGGAGCGATGAGTGAAGGAGTTCAGCTGGTTATGGCAGAATGAAGGGACTGATGCCAAGACAAAAGGAGAGGGACATTTGCTCTGGGACCACTTTGAGATCTTGCATTCGGATGTAACATAGGAAGGAGATCCTGATCCAAGAGAAGGAGAGATGAAAGGCAGCAGCAGAAGTCTGTGTGAAGTGGCAACAGTGACTATAGCAGAGAAGAATACGGAAGAATTCTCTAGATAGTACTCAATGAATTTATCACCATGAAAATTCTTATCCATGCTGGGTTTTACCTATACTCAAAATATGCCTTTGTTGTCTATGAATTCTGTCACTATGAAGACCAAATTTTAAGATATAGCTATCAGAGGAAATAAGGAGGAAAAAGTAGTAATTAAAGAAAAATCTTCTAAAGGAAAGAAAAGAAAAACTTACTGCTCTTCCCAAACGATTGCTGAAGAGAACAGATCCCCTCCGATGCCTCCATTTTCTTCTGATATATTGATACCAAGCAACCCCTGCTGTCCGGCTTTTTCCCAGAGCTCTCTGCTTACTTGACCAGCTTTTTCCCATCTACAAAACAAAAAACAAAAACAAAAAGTAAAATCATGGAATTCTCACAGAAATATAAATGGATTCTAAATAATTTACTTAGTAAAAATGCAAGCTTGATTATTTGGGGGGAAAATATTTAGAATACTGCATACATAAAAAGACTATATACATTGGACAGAGGGATAGAATCAAGATCACATGAAGTGTTAGTACCACTTTATAATGCCTTGGTAAGACCACACTTGAAATATTGCATCCAGTTTTGGTTGTCACAATATAAAAAAGATGTTAAAACTCTAGAAAGAGTGCAGAAAACAAAGATGATTAGGGGATTGGAGACTAAAATATATGAAGAAAAGTTGCAGTCACTGGTACTAGGGGCGACTTGATAGTAAGGCAGCCCCTATATCTAAGGGGCTGCCACAAAGTAGAGGGGGTCAATCTATTTTCTAAAACACTGAAGGCAGGACAAGAAGCAATGGATGGAAATAATTAAGGAAGGAACTAATCTACAGCTAAGGAGAAATTTCCTGACAGCTAGAATAATTAATCAATGGAATGACTTGCCTCCAGATGTTGTGGGTGCTCCAACACTAGTGGTTTTTAAGAAGAGTTTGGGCAATCATTTATCTGAAATGGTACAGGGTTTCCTGCTTGAGCAGGAGGTTGGACTAGAAGATTTCCAAGGTGCCTTCCAACTCTGTTATTCTGTTCTGTTCATGTGATCATTATTTGCAGCCTTCCCACAAGCAAAGCCAATGGGGAGCTGGAAAGAAGTCAGAAATCCTTAATGACCTGCACAGTCCTTGCTTGGCACTAGCACTAGCACTAGCACTGATTTACATACCACTTCATGGTGCTTTACAACACACTCTGGATGGTTTACAATTTCAGCATATTACCCCCAACAATCTGGGTCGTTTTATCAACTTCAGAAGGATGGAAGGCTGAGTCAACCTTAAGCCCCCGTCAGGATTGAACTCCAGACTGTGGGGAGAGTTTGCTTGCAATACTAATTCTAACCACCATGTAATAATGGAAACCAAGGACTGCTGGGATTGCAATAGCTAAGCAGTGCAGTCATATGATATTGCGCTTTATGACCACATCATTTAGCAATAGTTAAATTTAGCATAACTAAACAGCCCTAATAACTGTTAAAGAAGGACTACCTCCAATATAAAGAGGTGATGTAAAAAATAGTAGATTCTTAAAACCATCCACTATGATGACCATTCTGTTCGCATTAGCAGAAACACCTGTTTGCAGCTAAAGTATGTCCCACTTGCACAATCACTTTACTTTACTGATCTTAAACCACTGGGAATATGGTTTAATTCCACTAATCAGGCCTTACCTCCAGCTGAGCAAAAGATCAATGAAAACAAGATAAGGAAAGTCTTCTGAAATTATTTCAACCACTTTTATCAGCATTGCCTATTGGAGGCATTATAGAAGAGTTTCCAAATTCCTGCTGAGCAATCACTGGAGAAGCAGAATGTGCTTTTGTGCACCATTATCTCTCAATCCATATTGAAAAACAGTTGGTAAGAAGCACAATCTTGATGAAGTGTACAACGGCAGTCATAAAAAGTAATAGGAAAGCAGATGTCTAATCAGTGATTTGGACTTTTACCCCAAAGCATGTTCCACTGAGCAAATTGGACTCTATTCCCAGGCAAGAACATTGCAATTTTGTTAGTAAATAAAATAACCTATCATTTATTAAGTCCAACAATAGTGCAAACTATTTTTTAAAAAAAAATCAGTGCAGCACTAATTTAGATGTCTTCTGAGATACATAAATTGTTAATTCAATGAGGCTCATGTAATTGAGAAGATTAGTTAAATTGAATTATATCATCTAATTAAATCTGATGCAGAATTAAATGTGAATGTATTTACCATTCCCTCCTCCATTTTCAAGACAGCAGACACAATGCGAAGGAATTGGGTCTGCAGTGCCTGGGTGTATGCATAGAGAAAAATCTTTTCTTTCAGTGAAAACCACTAGTAGCTCCAAAGCTGTTAACCCTATAGAAACACTTACATTACTGTTAGTTATGTCCACCTGGGCAAGCAGCATAAAATCTAGGATTATTTCAATAATGAGAAAGAGAAAATGAAAAACGGGATTTTGTGCATTTAACTTACTCTGCATGATATGGTACCACAGCTTCCTGGAAGAATTTTTTCACACTTTGCCGGAAGATGTCATGGTCTGAAGAAAAGATCCTTCTAATTCCTATGTCCATTAATGTTTTAGCTGAGGAGGGTTCAAGGCGTGTTGAATCATTATTTTCTGTCTGAAAGTTTCTTTAAAAAAATTAAATTAAACATACTTCTTAAAAAAGTCATAGTTTTGTTTAAATTCTATCTACTAAATTTATATATACTTTCAAACTATAAACATTTTAAAGTTTCCTTTTGTGGGTTTTTTTTTTTAATGTTTTGAGGGTTTTTACCTTTCAGTTCTTTTTATTTTTATGTTTTAGTGAGGCACTACCAAAAAAATGTTGCAAGCTATGGTTGACAAACCTGTTCCTTTTCAGATTTCCTCCACCACCTATCACAGGACAAAAGAATAGTCTTGCATAGCAAATGTTTTAAAAAAATAACTGACCTAAAGTTGTAAGATAGGAGTGGAGCTGAACACTGATATATATAACTCCTATTTTATCATCATATTACTGTACTATTTAGAATGTTCGAACAGGAGAACTCAGATCAACTTAAACTGTTCAGAAGATTTTGCTACTTTTCATTTTTTTTAAAAAAACAAACATCTGTATTATTCACACATCCAGTGACAGGAAGTGTACTGTACAGAAGGTTATACCCTAATAAAAGTTTTTATATAGTCCTCAGTTAACAAGTTATTCAGCTACTGTCATTCAGCAACAGTTTGAAGTTACAGTGGCACTGAATGAGCAGTATGTATGACCAGTCCTTAAAGTTTTTGCACTCCCAGTCATATCTGAACACCTTATGATAGTTGCAGTGCTCCGCAGTCATGTGATAGCAATTTATGTCCTTCCCTGCCAGCTTCCTACAAGCAAAGTCAATATGGAAGCGAACAATAAAAGTTGCAGGTTGTTTGGATAAATCTCTGCCACTCTGCAGCAGCCACCCCAAGCCTTGCCACTCTTGCCCCATGCCAACTCCTCCCACCTCCTGTAGCAACCACCCCAAGCTTTCTTAGTGATAGCAGAGGAAGTGCCAGAATTGCCATTGCTAAGCAATGTAGTCATGTAATGTCATGGTTTACAACTGCATTGCTTAGTGTTGAAAGATAAATCTTCATCAGGGTCCAGTCCAAGCCGGGAATAAACAAAATGGAGACTGCTTTAGAAAGAAGATTGTATTTATTGAATCCTCTACACCAGAAGGTAATAATGAAAATTCTAGGAAAATATATAATCATCATCATAAATGAGCACTGATATAGAATAAATCTAATACAATTATTTTGATTTATAAACTTCTATTAGATGTTTCTCCACAACAATTAACCTTCATCTTGAATCCAAATTAATGTTTGTAATAAAAATGGGAGAAATAAATCAGATAGCTTTCAATAGTAGATCAGAGACAGGGTTGTGGTAGCTGGTCAATCTCTTAAAAGACATAATCTTTCTGAACTGCAGGCACACCTTTGGTAGCACTGAGAAAACTTGAACAATAAAGGACTTACTAGATATAATGTATTTTGGTGCAGTATGCAACTGTACCTTAATCCTATTTCATTACCTTATATATCACACATAAGATTCAACCCAACACACCAATATAAGCATTACACAAGCTACGTTTGCGCAAAGTAGGCTAAACTGTAATTGGCTATTTTGTACTTTGGTATGTCATAAGTCTATTATTGAAATTATTTTATTGTTAAATTTCTATGCCATTCATCTTGTCAAGGTGACTCTGGGCAGTTCAGTCATATAATTAAAATATGATGCCTTAAAATAATAAAACCCATATATTTATAAAACTCAATTAACCAAGATGGGAGGAGGTGTGCATGGGGAGGAGGCGGCATTTGACTAATCCTTTAACCACCTCCAAGACACCACTCCCCCAGTGGAGCCCAGACCAACTGGCTGAGCCAGGTCTTCAAGCCTTTCAGAAGGCCAGAAGAGTGGGGGCAGATTTAATCTGGAGGGCAGGATGTTCCAGAGGGCTGCTGCCACAACCAAAAAAAAGTCTTCTCCTGGATGCTGCTGACTGAATTTACTTGGCTGACAAGGTTCTCAGCATGCCTATTGTTGCTGGCACAGGTGGGCTGGTTCCTCAGCTCCTAAGGATCTCCATCTCCCCTCAGCTTTGTTTTGTAGCATGCTGTCTCTATTGCTAATATCTTTCACTTTTGATAATCATTTTTTTCTAAAAAGGCTATTTACTTCAATAGCAGTGGCTTCTCTAGAACATTCTAATAGTCAGGAATTCTCCAACTTTTCAGGACCATGACAACCTAAAATGATTAATAAAATTGTATGATGGCTTCCCATGAATAAAATTACTTTGTTTGGACTATGATTGGGCATTAAATATTACACTTATTTTAATGATTCAAATTTGATCCATGTGTAGCGCTACCTCTTCAGCGCTCCATGGCATTGGACCTGGCTACCTCCGAGACCGCCTTCTGCCACAGATTCCCTCCCATAGACCGGTACGCTCCCACAGAGCGGGCCTCCTCAGGGTGCCGTCGGCCAAGCAATGTAGGCTGGCGACCCCCAGGGGGAGGGCCTTCTCTGTGGGTGCCCCCACCCTCTGGAACGAACTACCCCCCGAGATCCGGNTATGGGACAACATGCTCCTAAAGCTATTGGTTTGTCGAGTTACTAGAATGAGATATGTATTTATGATTCAACATATTTGACTTTGAGAAGGGATATAATACATCCTGGTGGTGCAGTGGTTAAAGTGCAATATTGCAAGCAAACTATGCCCACAATCCAGAGTTCAGTCCTGTCAGGGCTCAAGGTTGACTCAGCCTTCTATTCTTCCGAAGTTGTTAAAATGAAGACCGAGATTGTTGGAGGCAATAATGCTGACATTTGTAAACTGCTCAGAGAGTGCTGTAAAACACTATGGAATGGTATATAAGTCTAAATGCTATGAGATTGCTATCCTGACCTGCTTTCTATCATTCTAGGATTTAGGGCATGGAAAGATACTGTTAAGACATGGGAAGTAATATTAGAAAATTTAATATAAAGGGGTGGGCTGTGGTCTATCTACTATAAAAAGCAGTTTGACAGTGGAACAAATTAAATGAATGAGATGGTGGCTTTTCATTTGGAGAACTAGATGGTCATCAGAATTTATTTGTTTGTTTGTTTATTTAGCCATCCATTTTACCTCAAAGTAACTCTTGGACGAGATGGGATGCTTTAAACTAGATATTTGCCCTGAGCAGAGTGCAGGAATTTATAGCCTCAGTGGTTTCTTCCAATTGTATGTTACTAAGCTTTGGTAATTCCATCACCACTGCTAATAATGGGATTTATAAACCAACACATTGGCAAGGCATTAGATTAGAGAATGATTGACAGTAGCTACCCAGAATTTTAGACAGAAGTCTTTCCCGTATTGCTATAAACATTTGGTGTTCAGGAAACTTCTACAAAAGTGGAACTTTTGTTTTCATTTAGTTTCTTTTGAAAAGAGAGAGAAAATAAGTGCATTATTAACTCTCACACTGAATGAAATGAGCAACGCAGTGGCACTTCCTCTTTCAAAATTTTCCCTAGAGGCCCATCCAAACTTCCACTAATCCAAATTGTCATTTTCAGGCCCCCAAGTCCTGAAAAGCATTTAAAAGTGATCAATGACTGTGTTCATTTCTGCCAATAGGAAATATTAAGAAACAGGAATGAAAAACCACTGCTTCATCCTGTTGGTCTTACAGTAGGTTCTGCATAACGAAAATCCCCTCAACCGCATTCCAGGAAAACAGGAAATAGGCAAGAAAAAAATAATAATCTCAGCCTGGCACTTTGTCTCCAGTTCCCCAGTACTGAAGAGAAAATTAAAATGGGCATCCCAGTCAGTATCACCCAGCTCCTTTTCTCTGGGTCACTGAGGAAATGTCACCCCATTGTCACTTTAGCATTTTCCTTAGAGGATTTGATGCTTAGAAGTTCTGAGGAAAGAAAGGCACAGCTTCTGAAGACAAACTCTAGTTGTACATGAACTTTAACACTACTGTTGTGCTGAAAACAACTCATTGTTCAATACTGGTCGATGACTGGAGAATGCAGAAGTTCTTTTCTTGTTGTGTGGAAGGTCCCTTGAAGTTAAAATTCCTTCATATTGGGAAGAAAATCAGACAGAAATCTCTGTGGCCTGATTTATAAGTCAGTGATTCCTAAATTGGTCCAGTTACCTTTTTTTCCATTATCCAAACAAACAAATTAAAACGAAGCAAAAAACCAACCAAACATCTATTGATTTACACAAGTACCTTGGCAGTTGAAGTCCCAAATTAGATCTTTAACTCACACACAAACAATTATAAATTGTGCTCCGCCCAGTTTAAGGATCCCGGGACTAAGCTATAAGGTAGTTTGCATGGTTTTGACTTTGTGTATTTTGTGCCCGGATTCAATTATGGCTTGAAACGTTTGCTGTGAACCCATATGCAATGTGTGCCATTGGAACCTTGTATTGTAGGCTTCAGCCAAAGTAGGACTGAATAAATACCCCAGAGGTGGGTTGCAAAAATCCACACCATCTCTAGGAAGGACTAAAGCGTTAAGTATATCTCTTTGCTGCCCTCTAGTATTTGTATATATTTCTGCCATTTGGGGACTGGTAGTTCTACCTACAATATAATCAATATTACATACAGTACATACCTTGTGAAGACCGGTGTTCCCAGTTTAGACACAGCAACAGGCATAGGACTGGAAAGTTTAAGCAAAATACAGTAAAGGTACATAGAACATTCTTTTTACTACAGTTAAAGGAAAAAATTTACAACAGAACCAGTGTAAAAATTAAATAGAAGTTGGGTTAAAATATAGCCCTTGCTTAATATCCTTGAGAATGGGAACTGAAGCAGAGCTCTTCCGTAGCTGCACCTTACTCGCAAAGAAAGGTTTTCATACAGCATCATGATCAATCTTAGTAAAAGTTGGTCTATAGAGAGGGCTCTCCATTTCCTCCAAAGCCTCATTTTGGAATTTTAATTGAAAGCCAACCTTAAACAAATAAAAGTTGTATAAAGAGTTCCTCCCGGGTAGTTGGAATATTTTTCTATCAGTTATGCGATTTATTTATTTTGTGTGTGGCATACACAGTCTCAGGGAAATCTACAAATGCTAAACACAATGTAGTCCCGACCACTTAAAGTTACTAGTTCATTCTGTTCAGCACTTGCATGCCTATCCTTGCACCACAGGGGGCAAACTAGCTTACAACTAGCTGACTAATAGCACTCGGGTTGCTGGCTCTTCTGGGCTCCTTTGCTGGTCTTGCCTTGTGTTGCATTGCCTCACATCCGGCTAGGTCCAATGCCTGCTCCTGCCCTCCACACACACATGAACGCAGCTATTGAAGTGGTACCCAATTATCTACTCACAGTATTGCATACTTTCAAACTGCTGGGTGGGCAGGAGCTGGGGAGCAAGTGGCGGGAGCTCACCTCATTAAGCCACTATGCCACTGCATCCTCTGAGTTATGCAGTATGATGCATTGATCATGTTAACCTCCTGGCTTCAAGCCATTTTGTCAGTCAATACCTTTGGTTGAGTAAGCCAATCAATAAGTTTTATGTAGAGATATCTGACATATTGTTTGCTAATCAAACCATCTTAACAGTCATTTGAGCAATGAGATATGCTTGTGTAGCGCTACCTCTTCAGAGGCCGCCAATGCCCAGGCCCTCCCGGCCACAACCCCCCTTGTCCAGCCTTGCGGTAATGTTCTTTAGAGATCGGTGAGATGTCTAAAGAACTCCTGTATCTGGGTTTGCATCGCGGTTATCCGATCATCCTCCTCCCTCACTCCTGAGCCTACGGGCTGTCCTACCGGCAATTCAGCTGTTGCCTCCTTAGCCTCCTCCACAACCTCAGTAGCCCGTACTCTCCTCATAAGCTCATGATATCCCCAGACATTCCCTCTAGCTTCGACCTTTATTTGACTCCAAACCG